AAAAAAAAAAAAACAAAAAAAAACAAAAAACAACTCCACCACAACAGGTGTCTTTATTTCTTTCCCAGTCTGTTTTCCTGGTTCTGGGCTTCTCTGATACAACTCCCCACCCCCTCCCCAGGAGCCACTGCAGGTGGGGACCCTCAGAGAGCATGTGGGAAGGCTTAGGAAACTCCCGGGCTTCCGGGTTTGGAGCTTCCAGGTGGAGCTATTGACATCATTCTCTCCCTCATTCTCTCCCCCTAGGAGCTTAAAAGCACCTTCCCAGGCTTTAGTCCTGCTGTGGTTGGGTGGGGAAGGGAGCGGTCTTATGCAATAGGGCAAACCAGTCCTCACTCAGGGCTGTTTATTTAAATGGACAGTGATGGGTTTGGGAGAAACAACCCAGATTTTGTGTTTACTTGAACTGCTGGGACCAGTACAATGTGGAGACAACTACTCAATATAGGGAAGGTAAGATGGGTCATAAGGGATAAAATGCTGGGGGTTCCAGAGGCGGATTTCTAGAGGTCCCAGGCAAGCACCTAATCCTGCAGGGGGTTGGGGATGCTGTGAATGGGTTAGTGCCTGCCCAGCTAAAGAGGACCCTGGGCTGGGCGCAGTGGCTCACGCCTGTAATCCCAGCACCTTGGGAGGCTGAGGCGGGCAGGTCACGAGGCCAGGAGTTTGAGACGACTCTGACCAACATGGTGAAACCCTGTCTCTACTAAAAATACAAAAATTAGCCAGGCATGGTGGTGGCGCCTGTAATCCCAGCTACTGGGGAGGCTGAGGCAGGAGAATCGCTTGAACCCGGGAGGCGGAGGTTGCAGTGAGCCGAGATTGCGCCACTGCACTCCAGCCTGGGCAACAGACGAAGACTCCGCGTCAAAAAAAAAAAAAGCCCCTCTCTTCCTTTCTCCGCCATCGTGGTGTGTGCATTACTCCGTTTCTCGCCATGTCTTCTCACAAGACTTTCAGGATTAAGCGATTCCTGGCCAAGAAACAAAAGCAAAATCGTCCCATTCCCCAGTGGATTCGGATGAAAACTGGTAATAAAATCAGGTACAACTCCAAAAGGAGACATTGAAGAAGAACCAAACTTGGTCTGTAAGAAATTACACATGTGGGGCCGGGCGCGGTGGCTCACGCCTGTAATCCCAGCACTTTGGGAGGCCGAGGCGGGTGGATCACGAGGTCAAGAGATC